CAGGCGCCGCGTCCCTTGCCTCATGCCGCCGCCGCCGGCCTCCCTGCCGGGCTCCCGGGCTCCCGGGCGCCGGCCTCGAGCTCTCCGAATTCCTCCTCGGGCAGCGACCGCAAACACGATCTTAGTATTGTTCTCGCGCGCGCTCGGCACCCCCGCCCGCCCGCTCGCGCTCCCTCCCGCCCGCGCCGGCCGGTTAATTCCTAGGTGCACGGCCGCTGTTCGCGAGAAACCGTGCGCGCTGGCGGGCGCGTCCCCCACCCCGAACTCCGCGTCGACTCGCGACGCCCGCCGCCCGCTCGCTTTTGTTCTCTGCCCGAGCTGCCCCGCGCGGCCTCGCCAATCCCCGCTCGACTTCACCCCCCGCCCCGGACGCGACCCCGGCCCGGCCCCCACGCCGGCCACGTTCACGAGTGCTCGCTGGGAGTAGGGACAAAGGCGCCCCAGGCCTGCGGACCAGCCGCCCGGGCCCCCGCGTTCGCCCCCTCGCCTGTCCTTGCCCGGTCTGCGCGTGGGCAGTGTGACCCACCGCGGGTATGCCGTCAGCGAGTCGGGGGCTTCTGGCATCTGCCCGGGGGATCTCTGGGTGGAAGTCTCCTGACAAGGACCGTCGCTGACGGGTCAAGTGTTCTCAGTCCTGGCAGCGTTTTGGAGAACATTTTGAAACGGGCATCTGGTTCTGGTGGCTTCTGCATACAGTTCATCAGATCCAGAACAACGTGTGTGTATCGTTGTTACAGCTGAACCCCTTCGTGGACTGCTGTCAAAGACATTTTGGGAGTGAGAATCTTCCTAACAGCTTCCTTTGTGGGGAGTAAATAAAATAATTCGGGGAGCCTTTCTGAGTCGGCCCAATGGGTGAACACTGCTTGCTTCCTCCGTCATCTCAAGGCCCACCTGGTGTCACTCCTAAGTGTAGTTGACTCTCTGTAGCCTTCCTGTTGTCACGAACCCTGTTGTGGTTTGTAGACCACCCTCTTCTAGGCATCCATGTTCCCTTGCCCTTTGATAGAACACAGGTTTCCCCAGCATGCATCTCCCTCCCTTGTTCTGTGGAGTTTTGTATGTGTTGACCCGGGCTATGTTTCTGGGTCCTGGGATTTAAAGTCTTCATACTTCCTGTGGACTGTTTGCTTTGTCAACAGTGCCTTGGCATTACTGTACTTTTCTAATGTATTTCTTTGTACTTGCATCTAGACTTCCCCCTGCCTAAGTGTACTTACCCTTCCACACCTGGGTGACAGGGTCACCTTTTTCTCTCTTCTCACCTTCTCCCCCTAGTTGTGATAGGCTGTTCATATCTTTCACTTCTAGACCCTGCATATGCAGCTGTCATAGCGCACCAGGTGTATGAACTTGTAGAGTGACTTCTGTATCCTCTTAGATCAAAGCTAAATCCCTTTGACTACTTGCCAAAGCCCAGATAGATCTGCGTGGGGCACAGGGTGGTTGTGGCAGAGAGGAGAGAACTGGGAGGGGAAAGGCTGTCACTTTGGAAGCCATGGGGCTAAGATGAGCAGGGGACTGACATGTTCATAGTCTGGGTTTAGATAGCTTGTTCTGGTGGCCATTGTGGAGGTGGATTTGAGGCTGGACCCCAGTTGAGGGGTTCTCACCAGGAGAGAGAAGACAAGTGTTGAGGAGGTTGGATGGCAGGTGGGTAGGAAGAAAGCATCAAAACTAATTCCCTGGTTTCTGGTGGAAGCAAAAGGATGATTAAGAAATCCATGAAGAATGAGTGAGATTATGAGTGGTTTGAATATGTTTGGGTGTCCATGGGTATCCTGAGAGATATTTAGTGGGCTGCTTAGAAAGTAGGCAGAATGTAGAGATTTAAGTGATATTAATAAACAGGTGGTAATTGAAGCCATGACAGAGAATTCCTAGGAGACCGTAGAATATGAAAAGTAGCCCTTGAATTTGGAACCAGAAAACTCCAATGTTGAAGAATCAGAAGTTAGAGAAGCCAAGGAGCTAAAGAATTTCTAGAAGGAAGGAAATGTCTAGGTAGATGCCACAGGGAGGACAAGTAAGATGCCAAAGGAGTAGGTCCGTTGAAGATGGTGATTGGGAAATAACTGGTGACCTTGCTGGGTATGTTTTGTGATTGGCAGTGGGAAGAGACCAGAGGGTAGTGGCTTGAGAGGTGAGTGGGAGGAGAAGATGTGGAGCCAGGAAGTATAATCAACTTATTCCCAACAGTGAAGAAGAGTATGGGGAAAGCATGAGGGGAAAATTGCTCTGTTGTGATTGTTTGGCTGGTTTTAAAGATGGCAGAAATTTGAGTTTGTAATGAGGAGAAACTGCCAGCAAAGTGCTTGAAGACAAAGGCTACAAAGGGGATAATTGATGGCGTTTGGATATTTTGAGAAAGTGGAAATTTCTCCCAGGCGAGACTTTGGTTTTGTGTTTTCAGTTGAGCCTGGCCTGACTGTTTCTCACCTACCAACTGCTTGACTCTTCTGCCTTTACCAAGTCAGACTTAATAACACAGTCACTCGGGATCTCCTCATGGGCTCCCTCTGTCTGATCATCAGGAATCTCCTAATGTGCCTGGATCAGAGCCCATCTGTCTCTGCAGCCAGTCTGGAGCATCCCACCTTGTCAACACGTTGCTGGTAGGATGAAGCATTGCTCTGTGGCTTGCACTGTAGATGGAGCTTTCAGAGTGGTTTCTCTGCTTTATGCAAGGACTGATGCTGTGGCTATTACAGGACAATGCTGTATTTAAATATTTAACAGATAAGGGGGTAATCCTTTAGAAATATCGTTAGGATCATTAAAAGAGCTTGATGTGTTTTATTTTTGTCAGTGTGGTCCTAGGAACTAGTCTGTTTGCTATATCAATTTAGAACACATTCATTTTACTTCTGTAACTTGGAAATCCATTCAGATTTTTTTGGTGATATCCACTTTTTTTTTTTTTTTTTTTTACCACTTTTGATTCATCATTCTCAAATTCCTGTGGGCTAATTCTTCTCTCTACATTGAGCTACTTGATCTATTTTTTGCCATCGTCTCACTCATACACATTGACACATTTTGTTGACGAGGTACTGGTTTCACCTCCTTTCATATCTTGACTGGGTATCTGAATAAAACTCTAACAGTGCCTTCAAATCCTGCCCCCAAATTCACCCATTCTATGCTGTTTTAATTCCCTAACATGTATTCCTTTGCTCCAAGTTATGAATGAGATAATACATATAAAGTACTTAGAACAGTGCCTGGCATATAGCAAGCGCTCATTAAATGTTAATTGATGCAATCTTTGGTGTTATTAACATGGTAAGGTGAAAAGAAGTGTGGAAAGGAAGCTAGAAAGAGCTGGTGTCAATCACACACATTTACAACCAGAATGTTAGAAGAGTTTCCTGGATCTCACACAAGTCCATTTCTGCTACTTTTGCCACTACAGATATCTCAAATGTCTGAAACCCAGTCCTAGGCCAGCTGGTCTCACAGTCCTTGAAAGAGAACAGGATATGAGAGATTGGCATCTTCTTGAAAAGTCAAATAAAATAACTTTAATATACTACTTGTGGTGAGAGAGCTCCCATATCAGAGTGAGTATTAGTGCCATTTTAGGGTTGGTAAAAGGCACCATAAAGTCTACGTGGGCCATAAGGGATAAAGGAGAGCTCAGAAGTGGCGGTCAGGTAGCATTGCCATCACAGGGATAGATAACAAAATTACTATATTTGCCACTATATCGAGTGGATAGCAGAGATCTCCCCAGTACTAACCTCTTTTTATATCCTTGGAAGATGCTGATTGAACCACCTGGGACCTTATTTGGGGAACAAAGGGATGGGGAGAAATATCTCAGGTCCTGGAAATTCTAGTGAAACTTTAAGCCCAAAGGTTATTTCTCTTGCAGTTATTCTCATTCTTACCCCTTAATTGTCCTGTCCCAGAATGAGGAACACACTGGATAATTGCAATCAGTTACTAGCTATTTGGGGAGAGGAGGTTAAATGTATAGAAGAGGTTTAAGGTGAAGAAGATATTAAAGCTTTAAAGAATTTGCAAATTTGCCTACCATTTTTGCTAGTGTTATGGCGAAACAGACCGAACACAGGAAGACATGGCACTGAGGAGGTCTAGGAGACAGCAATTTTGTTACACTGGTGGGTCTGAC